CCCCAAAACCCCAAAACCCCATGAAGCTAAACTTCTAAAATCTAGATTTAAATAAAGATTGGTAATTTTATTCGATAATGATGTTTATATATTTTCATAATTTGAGAGTTGCTTCATAAATAATATTCGCTATTCTACAAATTTCATTAATCTCTTCTACTAATTTATTACTACTTTCGATGCTCTGCTGATTATCATTGTTTATAACTTGATTATGTTTATCTGGATGATATCGACGCATGATTTCTTATTTAACCTTCTTCATAAGCTTTTTATTATTAATTTAGTTAAGGAATGGCACGGACTTCTCTTTATTATTGTTCTATTACTAGTTCTCTTACTTTTAAATGTATTCTTGATAAATCTTATCTTTAATGAAGAAGAATAGACCAAATTTACAAGGAGGGAGAGGTAGTTCAATATTGACATTTTAGATATCAGATCTTTATAGATAAAGTCCCCATTATCTATCATAAAATTGCCACTGTAGCTTGGACCTTTAAAATTCCTGAAATTCCTTTATAAAAGCAAAGTCCTTAATAGTATCAGAAAATGGTCCATCGGTTGCTTCTCTATCTTTCTACTTTTGATCAAGATCCTTCATAAATCTATCAATCTTTTCTACATTATTTGTGTAATGCCTTTATTACTTTGCATTATAGAAATAGTTATAACCTCTTCTAGTATTTGCAGTTATTTAACTTGTAGAAGGTCGTTCATCCAAGTGCAGATTCAAATCATTGGTAGATTATTTATTAAGGCTCATTCTTGGCTAGTAATTATAACAATTATTAGTATTATCTGGATATTCCAATTTAGATTAATCTTTTTAATTCGTAATCATATCTTCATTCAGATCAGAAAATATCTAGCTTGAGCTCTTTTAGTTTAGCTTATGAGAAGAAGTCCTGCTATGCTAGATAAATCTGGGGATTTGAAAATTATTTTACTTCTCATGTTAAAACTGATTTTGGTTAAGTTAGTCTTGCTATTGATAGTCTTGTCTTTGATAAAGTATATTTTTGGAACTAGTCTTGTTATCAGGTCTGTTGAGAGTACTTTCACCATAGCTTGGACGACTCAATCCATAAGTGTAGTTATTCATTGGAATATTATTAGTGTGAGATGTGATGGGTCTGTCAAATCCATTTAAAGAATTAACCTTATTAAGATTAAGATTGCCATTCATTGTTATACTTGACTTATACTTCAATTTATTTGAATAAACGTTTGATGACTATGGTCTCACACCATTAGCTGTAGAAGCAGGAGGAATGTTAGAGGATCTCATATCAAGAATTTACTCTTTTTTCTTTTGGTCAATGTTTTCTTAAAGAAGTCTGTTGTAGTAGCCAACAGGATTAAAAAGGACCTCAGTTGGGTCTTTGTGCAGTGGACGTAAAAGCTATCTAGACTATTGATGACTAAATAGTAAGCTCTGCGTTTTTGGTCTTCCTTGTAAGCTATTTCTAGTTTATTAATTTGTCGGTGTTTGATTCACAGTCATCTTGTCATAAGTATTGCTTGAAGTTGAAATTGTCTGGGCTGTGTCTTATTTTGGATTATCTTATTTCTTGCTAGTGCTAAATTGATTATAGCTGCTGCTTGACTAGTTATAATTATTTGCGCTGCTATGGTTTCTGTTCAGTTCCTGTTTAACTTTGGGTGTTGGTATTATATCAATCTTTCTTTGTGTTCCTTAAGTAGATGGATTTCTCGTATACATCTTGCGAAGCTTAGAAGTAACCTGATTTTGCAATTTATGATGAAAATCCTGAGGTCTTGAGGCTGCTCCACTTCCGCTTGTATTTTCAGTCGTTTCTTTTGTCGATGTAGTGGTTGCTTAACCTCTGTTTGGATTGCTTATTGTTTGTTATTAGGAATGAGTGTAGACATGAGGGTAAGTGTATTGCTAAGTAGACTTCGTTTTTGAAAAACTTGTCTTTCCATTAGAATGGCGATACTAAGTATATCTGAGATTACCCAAATTAGCACTACTAATTAAGTGGTTTTTATCCATATTCATAATTCTTCGATGATTCTATTATATTTTTTTACCTTTTATTTAAGAAGAAAGCTATTATTTATTATTTCATTTTACGAATTGTTTCTTTTTATTTTTTATAGGTGGGGTTTTGGGGTTTTGGGGTTTTGGGG